CGTAATGCATGTAAAATATTAGACATTTTGAGTTATGCATGTTTATCGCAAGAACAAACATAACTGTAATGTTTAATGCAATAAAGCATTAACTCTACATGCAGACAACAAAATTTAAGCACTGAAACTAGTGCATTTTCTGAATTATACGAACTCCAAATTGCCAGTAACGTGATACCCGAATGATCGGTATGAATCTGGGCCAAACATTAATTTCCTTGTTTTAGGAACACCGCTGACGTCAAACCAGGATTGCTTTTATCAACTTTATGCTTTTAGAGTGTGATTTTTGCTTTTCGAAAATATACAAAGTTGTATCTTGGGCTGTTCGGTTTATTATTTTTGGAAATGATTCAATACACAAACTTCGACCCGCCGCGCTTAAACTGTGTAATTCTTGTTTCGTTCATGGTGTCAACAAAAGTTTACTGTACCTACACGGGAATTTCGCTGGCCCAGAGTCGCTATCCAAGCGAAAATCAGCAGCTTGTTTTTACCCAAACACATCAACAATTCGAGTAAAGTGAATTTGTTATCGTTAGAATAGCAATTGAGTACATATGTTTCAGATTAACGCGCTTTCGACACATCTGTTATTAATGACACAAAGATAACAATGAAACTCGACGGGCATTTTCAGTGCCGTTTTTCTAACATTTTGGCATATTTCCCCTCTATGGAGATGTTATTCCCTAAGTTGTGATGCAAATTCTCTCCTCATTCTCCCAAGCACTCGGAAATGATAAGCATTTGAAGCTTTTACGTAACCGTTAAAATAACGTTGTTACAAACGTGTAACCTGAAACCGTAGTTACAGCTAGCAGATTTAACCGGTTGTTTTTGGAACCGTCTCATAAACCAGAAAATGCCGTTCGCAACAGCACAGAACCGATGCGACAGCTTGATTATTGTGTTTATCACTTTTCGTTTATAAGAATTACTGTTCAGTTCGCCAGAATTCATAATCGTTCAGATATGGATCAGATATTAATTCAGCATTTTTAGTGAATAAGTATTTAGTTTTCTGACGTTCTGTAATAGATCTTAAAAAGAAGGGATTTCTCTCATTAATAAACTTAGCTCGAGATGTATTTGCCTATAATCAGCAAACTAAGCAGAATGTACACTTGAATATGAGCTATGACCAAATTTAGCGTCTAAGACTGCAAAAAAAATATTTTTAAACGTTAATTTATTTTTAAATGAAAATTAGATTTTTAAACATTTTTGCATGTTTTATTTAATCAGTTTTTATTTATATATTTTATCTAGTTTATTACCAGTTCTTTTGTTCTTTACGCAGGTACTTCTGACCCATGTTTTGTTTTTCATTTTAGAATATTTTATTTTATCTAAAGTCATTATTTGTCATTACTATTTCTACAATCATCACCATCATTGCGCATGTTTAATGAAAAATTTTAAAAGTAACATGTTCCTTTTTGAACCGCGTTTTGAAACCTGTTACCAAGGTGAACTGGAACGTTGTAACCTTGTTACAGAAAAATAACCGTTTATCCCACTTCTAATAGTTCCAAGCAGCTTTAAAAGTTAGGCATCCTCGGAGATGTGCAATTCGGATACCTACATGAAAATTAGCACGCTTGATGATTTCTGATGTTGAATTATAAGCAGCCCTCTGCCATTAATTAACAGAAATTCACTACATCATTTAGCACGAGCAATTTATAAATGTCAGTTACGCTATACTATCAAAATGTCTCTATTATCCTTGATTTGTAAGACGATTTGAAGTGTTTTAATTAGGGAAATATGATTAATTGAATCTGTATCTCGATCAGAGAAATTTAACGTTTGAGTTAAAATAGTTTTCCATAAAAAACCTTAAATAAAGAACGAAAAAACGAACAGTTTTATATTAAAAAGCCGTGTTAGATGCAGCGCATACTCCTCAAAAGGATCAATTAAATAGCGACTATACCTCTATGTTAAACTATGCAATTAATGCTGCAAAATTGGCTTTAGTGTGCTGGGTGTGCACAAGGTTGCCAATTTGTTCCCAATTCACGTATCAGAGTGAACACTTTATAATACATATATTAAGGCTGTTTTTGTAAATTTCATTATTTTGATTTGGGGCCATTCCCTTCTTCCCTTTCGCGAACACCCTGCGTAGGAGAATCTTGCATTTTTTTTCATTTTTTATTTGAATTTTCAAATTGCGTAAGAATCTTCCCTGAAAAGTCAAAGCAGAACGTTTGAACCAAAGACATTAATAATGTTTCGGACCAACCGATCGGCGATTTATCAATGAAAAATAGGTGATTGGGATAAAGCAGGTACTGAGCAAAGAGTAGAATTCATCGGAAAATCAAATCGCCTGGCTGCTAGCCATAGGCGTAGTAAAAGTCTGTGTTAATCGATTTATTCTAAGCATGGAAGATTCACTCATTTTCTGACCTTTTTCTCTACATTACATGTTTGAAATTATAAACGCTATAATAGTAACGCATTTTTTTTAAGCATTCGATAGCGATTCAATAGGGATCGAATATGGCTCTTAGCTGATAAATTCAAAACAACTTACGCCACTGGTGCCTGTTTACAATCGTGCAGAACCGTACAGGTTAGGAAAACTCAGGCCGATTTTCTCAACATTTCTGCAAATGAAACCACTTCGCACGATTTCTTTTAAGCGCAACATTTTACTAACATCACGATGATCACTTGTTATCACCAAAAACACGAGAAATTGCCGTATTTACTTTCCGAACAAATCCTCCTTCCCTMTTACCGTCATGTCACTGTCACCACTAACTCATTGCGGTGTTGTCATGATGAATGTTTTATTATGTTTTCTGGTAATTACCACYTRAAATTCYTAKGAAYTTTTTAATATAAAATTTYGACGCTGTTATTTTAATGGCATTTGCTTGTCGCTTAGTACAAACTAAGCAAATATGACACTAAATATATTCATGGCTACCGTTTTCCTGCTATTTTCTTGTTGATGCCACTCATATACATCAAATTGAATACCGAGCCGGCAAAGCAGCTCTCGCAAGTACCTACTTTTCATCGAAAAACCTAAACAATTGCATCCGATTAATCTGACGTTCCAATACAGTGGCTTGCACTATCAAAATCCCTGGTCAAGCAGTGGGCCAGTTAGTGCACAATAGGGCAAAATAAGTGCATTACGCATAAAAACGCAAACAAACGCATCTGTTTAATCTGCGGTTTGAACCTACTGTCTAAATTTCAAGGGCAACGCTGCCAGCAAAAGTATTTTTCGATTTTCTCTCTTCAACATTTCACGACGAATCAAGAATTCGCAATCCAAGTAAAAATAAAATTTAATTCAATTTCCTTTACTGTACTGTATAATCAAGAGGATCTCCTGAAACAGCAAAACCAGACTTGAAAAGACCTCTTAGAGAAAATCCAATTTTGTTACAAAGCTGTTGACCAACATGTATCATGGCTGCGTAAGTAAATTCCGTAAAAAAAAGATTTTCCGGCTCTGTTGCAACAGATTATTCCTGCCGTTGCTCAAGCTTTCCAGGCCTTTTTCTGCCCCATTGAGTCTAAACCTTTCGGGAATAACGTAATAGGGGTACTATGCAGAGCTTTTTCCATTTTCACGACAACTACTTTGCAATTGATGGTTATTTGCGGTTTATATTGGTTTCCTGTTGTGGACTCACACTGTCGAACAGAAATGAATAAAAGTATCAATTTTCGACGTTCTGGTGCGATTTACTTTGTGACCCGTTACAGATAATAACAGGTGTAGAACCATTTAAAAGACATTTAGAAAAATGGCCTAGCATATACAGCGCAGCAGGCCCATCAATTTTCCGAGAATAGGCGATTACGCAACCGCCTCCTCTTACTCAATAGAGAATGATTAGCCGGGTGTTTTGGCACCGACTGATCGTAAAACTGCGGTAAATGGCTCAGACCGGTTTCGATTGACCAAAGCGCAAACAATATAGCAAATTGCCCTCACCTTTTTGCCTCTCATAGGCGTTGATGCACTCAGAAGTCATAAATTGGCTAATGAGAGCCGTTTTGCCAACACCTTGAGCGCCCAAAAGGGCCACCGTGTAATTGGACACCTCCAGCACGTGTTCGTCCAGAACTGGTGAGGGCGTTTGAGCCCCGCCCCCCATGGCTGGAGGACACAACGAGTTGCTTCTGGATCGTCGTCTTCTGAACGAGTCTCCCCTATTAACGATACCTGCAACAAGACAATTGCACTCATTTTCAGAATGCACTTTCACCTTGCACTTTCAGAACACACAACTCACCTTCAGGATGCTTCCTTGCATGCCACTTAACACGTATTTAATCGCTTCAGCTTAACCATATAGAGAAAACGTTTCAAGAAAAGAGGTAACCAGGAAAATGTGGCTCAAAGTGCGCCGGATTGACTGGCAGAAACCGGTTGCTTTGGTTTAATATTTAAGTTAGGAGGATTTTTTGAAATAAAAAATGACCCTGGATAAACAACCCTCCAAGCGGTACAAGGAAATTAAACTTTCCTTTCCCAAATTAAACAAGAAAAAATAATGGAATTTAAGTGAATCATTTGCGTCCCTTCAAAAGTGCGCGTTGGTTTTCAGTTCAGGCAACCTCTGTTTTTTTATTCAATTTTTAATATCAGGAATAATATAAAAGGACCGCGCTGTTCTCTACAGATTTTTCGGATTTGTTTTCTTTCAATTCGCTGACTTTTCAGTGCTGTTTTCCGACAGCATTTGTGCACAGGGATTCAAATGGTTGAACTATTCGACAAAATATGAAATTTTTCTCACAAATTATATGGAAACATGCAGACTGCATGCAACCAATGCCTCTGTCCCATGCATCCGTTTATACGATGGTACGATGATACGAAAGTGTTTCTATTGGTTGGAGATCTGTCAATTCGTACGACGGAGTACGAATTGACAGATCTCCAACCAATAGAAACACTTTCGTATCATCGTACCATCGTATAAACGGATGCATGGGACAGAGGCTTTAGACAGGAATTAAGGGTCTCCGTCTTTATAGGTCTCGTAAACATTTTAGCGCCTTTAAATTTATATTAGTGGACAGTAACAGGGGGCACATTCATTTAATTATGGAAACACCAGTATTCCATTAAGAGAATATTAATGACGGCATTGTCCTACACAAATAAACTGCTCAAGAAAATGGACGTTACACGCACAAATTTTGACCAATTTCGGATGGCGTAGAACGATTTCGTTTCTGTTTGAGGCGTTATTTAGTGCAATTCTTTCTCAGTTTGTGCGCGTTTTTGCAAAAGAATAGTAGGCCAGATAAACTTTCTACAGGGTGGCAACTGAAGCAATGTAAAATTCGCGGAAGTTCCACATGCTCTCAGTTGGGCAAATACTGTTTTTTTGTATTCCAGCAATACAGAATTTTGAATTTTTCGGCCATCTTGTTTATGTACAGAGTGGTCTCAAAAAACAGTGATACTTTCAATCTCTTGAACCGGTTGTCAACATCCAGAGCTCGCCAATGGACTTGAGACAAAATTTCGATATTCCGAGTTGCGTGAATGAGCGAAATATTTGAAAGCGAACCACACTTCACTTGAAAGACTGCCAGAATCATCGATTTGAGCTCTAAATCGTAAAAATCAAGAGCTGAAAAGTTACCGCTGCAAAAGCAAACAGTCGGTTTTTGAGACAATTTTGGATGTGGCTCTTACCACCAGCTAGTTAAAAGACACCTTTTATGTGTCTAAAGACTAGAGCTGGACTTTTTTAACAATTCTAATTGCTTTGGTGCTTCCAGTGACATTCAATTTGCTAAACAATGATCTTGTAAATTGCCTGCACGACATCCAAGCCTCAATTGCCTGATTTATCCTTATTGATCCAGCATAGGAACCTCGGAGTGCTTACTTTGTTGTACATTGTTCGCGGTATTTGCTTTTTAATTAATCTAGCAGCAAGTGGAACTCATCCCCAATTAGAATCTAAATACGGGGGTTGCTCATAAAAAAACTTGCTCTGCGTTCCTGTTAGTGGAGTTGTGGAGCAAATGTGCCTGTAGAAAAATTTTCGAAACTATCCTGGTAAAATCCGCGTAAGATTCAGCTTTTGACAATCGTGGCTAGTGGGATAAACGGTTATTTTTCTGTAACAAGGTTACAACGTTCCAGTTTCACGTTGGTAATAGGTTTCAAAATGCGGTTCCTTTGAAACAACCTTTTAATCGGCAAACGGCTGCAGCTGGTTCGAAGTGCGCTCAACTGCTTCGGTTTTATGAGCCGGTTCCAAAAAGAACCGGTTAAATATGCTAGCTGTAACTACGGTTACAGGTTACACGTTTGTAACAGTGTTATTTTAGCGGTTACGTTAAATGCCGACCATCCCTAATCGTGGCCCATAAATTCTAACTAGTAAACATTCAAAAATGGATTTAATTGGGTGAAAGGGTGAAAGGGAGGAGCCTTTTGCTCACTATTAAGTTAAAAATCCCGATTGTTTAGGTAAGGGGATCGAGCTGGCCTAATACTGTTCCACCTCGTCCAAGTGATCGGTTTTCAGTTATTTCATGTAATATTCGACTGAGTGAAGACGAGCTTCTTCATTTTGGGCCGTAAATCGCCTGTTTAGGAGAACTACTGTGTTGTCCAATTTCCCGGTGAATATTGACGATCTGTGAAAAATGCATTTTCACACAGCAGGATTTTCGACTGGAGCCGATCGTTTTCAACTCCATTGGACCGTCGTAGATAAATAGAAAGCTTTCATCTGGCGGGGAGTTTATTGGCGGGATCGTTTCCAGTTGACTGTTTGATCAACTCAACTAGCCGATAGAGAAAATTGCCGGAAAACAAACAGACGGTTAATTCAATTTAAAGATATCAAAGCAGTTGTTTATAGCTAATTAATTCAAGCCTGATTGGTGCCCCGCCAAATCAATCGAGCTCCGCATTCAAACATATCGGGAAATTAAATTGCTGCACATTTTCTCAGGACAGGAACATCTCGAGATACTATGAAACCACATTTAACGGCGCCTGTCAAAACTTTATTAATTTAGAAACTTTACAAACTGCGATGGAACGATACCGCCCGTCATTGAATTAACAGGCAAAATCGCGTTTTCATCGAAGGAGTTCCAACAGTGAACAGCCCGATGCTTTGATGTATTGGCAATCTACTATTAAGTTTGTCTTTAATACCCAACGTCTTCTAGATGTGCAGCAGATTTAATTAAATTAAGTGTACAAAACAAGTGCCGAATACCGCAGGTAGACGACAGTCGACTCCTGCACGTGCTCTTCAACGATAAAGTTCACAAAATTCGGGCACAAAAATAGGAGCACGTGCATTTGAGATATGTGTTCTGGATTGACACGATCCAAAAACAATTAAACCACGCTACATCGCAAAAATAACCCGCAATAAAGTCGTCAGGGGGGGGTTATGTAGAAAAAATACATTCTTCTGCTGTTTATAAAATTAGAAAAATGATCGTCATTTTGTGCAAGGGTGGCGCAAGATTATTGCAAAATTTCATGTCTTCCGTCCCGCTTTGCATGTTTCTCGGGGAAGCAAAATGAGCAAGAACGCTCGTTCTTACATCATTCCAGAGATAACTAAATGGCCTTTATTCGAAGTTTCTCAAGAACCATTCGAGCCACAGAATTCGTTT